CCTCAATTATATTAATGATAAGATTATAGATATAGAAGAGAATCACGCTAAGTATGAGTAGAGGAGGTCAGAACAAGGTAGGGCTTATTGGTGAGAGATGCTATCGCGTAAGTTAGAAGCTAGTTTTCAGCATCATGTTATAATAACTGGTTTGTATAAGAAACAGAAAGTCTGGATAATACTACAATTCTCATAATACTTACCGATTCTCTTATCTGCACTAATTTATTTAGAAATGAACTGCTCATTAGCTGGACTTGTATTACTCGAAGAATTAAGTTTGTGCCTCTGCGTTACTGTAGATGTTGCAACTGCTAATTTCATGTCACCATCTTTTGCTCTTCTTCGATTCACTACCAGTGTTGCCAGCACCCGCTCATATTCGAGAAGAACGTCATATGTCTATCAGTATAATGCGCCCTCCAATCTCCTATTCCCATTGGTCAGACCGTGCAATTGCGTGAATCCATTCGGACCACTTTTCTAAATTTTTATTTGTAATGTTGGGAGTGATTACTTCTGTTGAGTTGACGAAAAAGCTAAAACTTTTTTTACATTCATCGAAACGCTGATGTTAAGGTCTTGCAGGTGCCTAATCTGGCTGCAGTTCCCCTATCTGTGGATCAAAGCTCAAACTGGTGAATTCCATCTCCGCCCTTTCTCCTTTCTTAATCATGCACATATTAGTGTTTGATTGTATGGCCAGAATATCAATCTAGAATCGTTGATGATTTGGGTCAGATTGAATATTCTATCACTAGTTATTCCGATTAGAATGAACCAAATTCAAAAACTCTTGAACAAAGCAATCAGTCCACCACTCACCCTGTAAATGGTGCGCTGGATAACCCTTTCCTTGAAATTTTGGTGGCTTTAACATTGGTCAAATGGATGCATGTATTAAAGCCTATTAGCGCGATCGAGCCCTTAGCGGTTTTTCCCGCTTAACCTGCCGCTTAACACCCAAAGCTTGCGAAAGGCCCGACCCGAATACGGCCTATAGCGCGCTATCGCCCTATTCGCCGCTAATTTACAACACTGTGTGAAATTGACGGTTTTACATAATATAACTAAAATAAACAATAACAAATATGATTAGAACATTATCATAAGATTTTTTTATAGATGTTTTAGACATTTTAGATCACGATGAATGGAGCGGATCAACAATTAGTATAGTCTAATTCATGAATCAAGCAGGCCTCCTTAGATTGAATTAAGCTTCATCTATAACACTTTCCCTATAATATAATATATATATATATATATATATATATATATTATATATATATATTATAATATATATATATATATAATTATATATATAAACTTAGATTAAACTTAAGTGACCATCCATCAAAGTTCCATTCATTAGATGAAAGCCTCTTCATATGATGCACGGATCTCTAGTTCATCAATGATAGAACTTTGGTGAGATGATCCACTTAAGTTGACATAAGTCTCTCTCTTCTTCTCTCTCTTTTCTCTCTCTCTCTCTCTCTATATATATTATATAATATAGAGCAGAGATACCCTAATAGAGGGCAGATCAAAAGTAGGCATGAGGAAGAAGCGAGCCCATCCTCCGAGGCCCAACAAAGGTGTCTTTTTGAATAAATTCTTTTGTTTTTTTTTTCAGTGAGGGGGCAAGTTAAATAGTTCTAATTGATGAGTCCAAAAGTATGAAAGTGTTGAGGCCCTCTATAATAATATCTGTACAGATAGTGGAAATGTATTCAGCCCATGGGGCCTTTTGGTGAGGGCCACCGTGGTTGCTGTGATCGAATCTTAAACCAAGTTAAATGCTTACAAATTTAACTAAATTAAAGTATAGTGGGATTAATCTCAAAGAGGGCAAAAAAATTAAGAAGCATCCATAAATGTGGCAATTATCGGATTATTATTGTTAAAGAACATGTCAAGAAGTAGAAGACAAGCTTACTACCTACTTTGTTAAGCTCTGGTCAACTGGTAAAGTTTTTATCCTAAAACGGGTGCTTGAATTCTAAAGAATGTAATATGATATTACTGAATTATTGTTGCCTGAATCTCACTGTTTCTAATTCCTAACTGTACCTAACCGGAAAATTCATTTGAAAAAAAATGAAGGAGGAGCCTTTTCAACACACATTCCACCAGTTGCTTCTCTCTCCCTCTATAGCCTTATATATATTATATATATATATATATATATATATATTATATATATATATATAGTATATATATATATATATATAGACTCGATTTCAATAGTGGATGAGAATGTGACACCTCACTACAAAGCATTATTCTTTTATGCTTCGTACGCAAGCATATCCATTTCTCTTCTCTCTCTCAATATATGATATATAATGAGAAAATGAGAATGCTTGCTACAAGCACAAATTTTGTGTTTGATATGAGGTGACACATCCCTCCACTCATTTCTAAATGGTTACATATCCCCATGCACTCCTCAATCCATGTGAATGTGTCCCCATTTGAATAGTGGAGGGGGATGTGCGCACTCACTACATGGAGAAGAGGGGAGAGAAAAAAAATAGGTATGTTTGGTACAACACAATTTTGTGCTTGGTATGATGTGTCTTATTCCCATTCACTCATTTCAATTCCCATCACTCCCCAACCGCATGTGAATGTGGGTCCGCGATTTTAATAAGTGGAGGAATATATGTCATCTCATTATCCAAGCATAAAAACTTGTACTTGGTACCAAGCATACCTATTGTTTCTGCATTAGTATATATATATATATATATATATATATATATTATATTATATGGGAGAAGTGTTCATAAGATGACACCTTAGATTCAATCTAAGGTAGCGCCTTTAAAACTATATTATATGCTATCAAATTATCTGATCCACTCCGTTCATTTTGTTTTAGATGTTTTGGATTGTATACAAATCTTGTAGTTACCCATGCATCAAGTGAATGTGAAATCAAGGTTGTGGATAGCGGATCGCGGCGCGTCGCGGCGAGGTACCGCTAAGGCTATTGCGCGCTATTGCGGCGAAATAGCGGCAAATAGCGCACAGTCAAATAGCGAACAAATATAAATATATTTAAATATTCTAAATAATAAGAAAAATCATATAAAATCTAAAAATTCTACAAATACATACTTGATGCCTAAACATGAAATAGATGTGTAATAATTACATAATATTAACAAAGTACTATAATTATAAAGATTAAAGAATAAAAAAACGTACCTGTTTATCCAAAAGACCGTTATTTGTCCCATTTCTTCCATTTTCAAATCTCTAATATAAAAATGCTCAACAATAAAAAAAATCGATTAGTAACATCATCATCATATTAACTACTAGAAATTTGACCTAAAAAATAAAATATTCAAGTCTCAATAATTTGCCTAAAAATTAATAAGTCACAGGCTACAACTATTTTGGAAAACATTTATGATTGGATTAAATACACAAGTCTCAATAATTTGTCTAAAATCTTAAAATGATGATAGAATTTGCTTCAGTTCCAGAAAGAGAATTTCACTTGGTACTTGACATTCGTTAGAAAAGCAAGGGGAATCAGTTTTAAGCATGCGTATGAGGTATGATGATTAAATGTACACCACTGAAAAAATCCCATGGTTTATAAATAGTAGGAACAGGAAAGATGAAAGAATCAATAGCAAAAATGGGCTCCAAGACCTGAAGTCGCTGGTATGGACTGAGAATGAGATGCTGCTGCCAGAGGGAAGTGTCGTCGGAGGAAGTGAGAGAGTCGGCATTGACCGGAGGCGAGAGAGGCGAGAGGCGGGAGTGGCTCTTGGTGAGGAAGTCGACGAGTCGTTGTTTGTGAACGAGAGAGGCGAGAGGCGGAAGTGGCTGTTGGTGAGGAAGTCGACGAGTCGTCGCTGTTTGTGAACGAGAGAGGCGAGAGGCGGCTAGGGCACACTTGGGTTTTGGGTTCGGGAATCACAGGCGAGAGGGTATAAATGAAATAGGTATGGGCGGGTTCGGGTTGAGTTGGGGAGATTTTCGTTTGGATCTGTAGCGGAGTTTAGCGCTATTAAGCGCTTTTTAACGCTAAAAAGCGCTATTACGCGCTATTCGAGCTGATAGCGGTTTTTTCCGCTTAACACCACCGCTAACCCCCAAAGCGTGGCGGAGAAGTCCCGCGACCGCGAATAGCGGCGCTATAGCGCCGCTATTCGCCGCTATTTACAACACTGGTCCTTCATCTCAAATTCACTACTAAGTATTCGCCGCTATTCGCCGCTATTTACAACACTGTGTGAAATTGACGGTTTTACAATAATATAACTAAATAAACAATAAACAAATATGCATTAGAAGCATTTAGTCATAATGATTTTTGTTTTATAGATGTTTTGAGACATTTAGATCACGATGAATGGAGCGGATCAACAATTAGTATAGTCTAATTCATGAATCAAGAGGCGCTACCTTAGATTGAATTTAAGGTGCCACATTATGAACACTTTTCCCTATAATATATATA